ACATCCGAAATGCCGTTGGATTTGAGAATGTTGATCACTTCAGAGGTTGCTGGGAGGTTGTCGGCCACACGGCCATAGCAGATTCCAAGTGTTGCTGCAACTGCAATAAAAGCAACTAAAACTTCAGGAATTAACATAAAATCATGAGATTCTAATTCTTATTTTTTCATCCTGAATTGAGCTGCACTTTGATAAATCTAAAATAGCAAGATCTTTAGAGATTGGCACCTGCTTCAGATGGAAGAAGCAAGAAGACTGAAAATAGAACTAGAAAACCCTGAATTCTCATTGTTGTCAGCAGTGCTTTGAACTTTGGATCCTGGAATACAAGGGTGAACGACTTTAAATTTTGATGGACACATCGAAAAATCATGCCAGTGTGTGACAGGTAATTATGAATGTATACCAGGTTTAAGTTAGGTTTAATTTTGGTTTGAAAGGCTTCATGTGCTTTCCATTTTCTATTATTTCAGTTTTATCTGCTAAGCCTTCGCTGGTATTCTCTGTTATTGCATTCGTTGCCTTGTCAGGTTCCTAAAATTGGATCTACCATGGCTCTGCAACTTGAACAGAATTTGACATGCAGTATACAACGATTTGTTGTTCACCCTGTTGGGCTGCTCAACAAGAACACTTAACGTCTATCTGGAAGTGAAGCCCATCAGTAATCAATTAGTTAATTTATTCCAAAAATTAAAGAAGTTACTTTCGTTCAAATTTATTAATCTGCTCATTGAAATTTCATGATTTACTGTCTAGTTTTCCATTTACTTTAAGCCTACAAATAGTTACAACAAAAAATTTTGCCAGTATCCTCCCACCACCTGCTTGCCTGAATACCAATTTCTCACTGTTGTTCACCAAGAGGCTTTCGATGTAACCTTTTTACACCTTACATTTTCAAGTCTTCCCCTTGAAGGAAACTCATAAACTATATAAGAAGAACTCACATGCCAAACCTAAAAACAAAAAAGGCATTACCATCAGTCTCAGAACCTTTCATATTTGAATATTTGAGTCAATAGTAAATCATGTCTCTGTTACTCACTGAACTGAGTTCCAATTTCCTTCTCCAAAGAAAAAAAGAAACCCTTTCATTATTTGCTATGTTACTGTTACCTGACAGTATCATAAAAATGATCTGCTTGCACAAAGCACGTGGCAAGACAGTATTTGAACACAAATTTTGAGGTCTCCAAAGTGCAATTCTAATGAGTGCATTATAATTAAATTACACGATTGTTCTAATCATCAGAAGACAGAATCAAAGTGCGTCCATTCTGGCAGAATCCTTTCTTTTGTTAAAGAAAAAGGAATAAAGAGGGTAAGCACTCAAAGGCGACCCATTAAGTAGATAAAATCGTACATGGGATAACGTTGCTGGACTAGTTTTTCTCAAATCCTTATGTTGAACCCCATACTGCTTTATCTTTCCAGAATTGCTGCAAAGCCCGCAACGTTGACCACTAAAGCTAAATATCTAAACCTGACTTCAACAAAGATTATAAAACTTGTCCCACCATGATTAATCTGATGATAAGATCTCCTCGTCAAAAGGAAGATTTTAAAAATACCTTACTTATTTAATACCAATTTCATTTGTTCGGTTATTATTCCGTTTCTTAATTTTCAAAAACCTCAAGAGTTTTAAAGACAATTTTTAAACACCAAAAAGTCAAAAGTTATACTAATATCTATGCAAACGAGATTTCTTTTGCAAAAAGAGTGTGCAGGAACCATCCTTTTAGGGAGATATATTTGTGTGATCAATTTTGGGCATGGCGAGGTGCAAAGATGAATGGTTAAAGCGTTATGGGGGGTACAATGCATAACTTGCACCGGAAATCGACCCAAGCCAATGATTAATGAATAAACAAACGCTGCGGTGCTTTGTTGGGAACTTGAGATTGTGCCTGTCCTAAGGCAGCCAAAATCTTACTTTCTCTCTTTACAAAGCAAGTGCAAGTGCCCCTTCTTCACCAGTAATTAAAGGACAACGGAATATCTTTAGTTGTCTCTTTAATAAAGAAAGTTCCTCCTTTATTGAATAGAAAACAACCAAATACTACTTGGAAGTCTTGAAAACCTATCCTACAAAACCTCTTGTCACAGGCAAATATTCTTCCTTGTTTTGAGAGTTTTCTCCAAAGCCTCGCTTTGTCTGCACTCAAAGAACAAGAAGCTGCAGACTCGTACTAAATCCTAACCCTTCTCATTCGCTACCAAAATCTCACGTTAAAATTTAAGTCCCTTCATCTCCTCATCTCCTATAGCAAAAATAACACAGGCTTAAGAATGTCGACTCAAACACAGCAGCCTCAAACACAACAGCCCGTTGTCGTTTACCCAAATACCGTGTCAGGACAAGCGCCGCCATCTCATTCTCACTCGAATGGATCGTTTGGAACAGTTTTTATTGTGCTGGCAGTAATCATTGTAATATCAGCTATAGCTTGCTTTCTTGGAAGACTCTGTAACCGGCGCATGAGCCAAACAAAACCCTCCAAGAAAAACCAAAACCATACTATCCGCCCTAAAGAAAGGGACATAGAGTTCGGGTTTGATGGGAGGAATCCTGCTGCCAAACCAACTGGCCATGTTGATCCCAGCAAAGGGTTCAAAATGCCCGGAAATGGAGATCCCAGAGGGTTCAGAATTCCTGAACATGGGGATCCTAGGGGAACTAGAGTGCCAGGAAATGGGGATCCCGCAGGATTTAGAATGCCTGGAAATGGGGATCCCACGGGATTCAGAATGCCTCGACATGGGGACATCAAAGGTGAAACTAAGCCTATTGATGATGGAGAGCTTAAGGCCAGTGCATGATATAGGGCACAGAATGAAGAGGTTCCAGGCTTGTGGCACTTTACTTATCTCCTTTTCTTTTCTCTTTTTATTTTTCAAATTTTCAGCCTTATGTAGTTTCTTATTTTTATGATCTTGCACATGTATTTATTTGCTTATATTGATCTTATAATATCGCAAGGATTAGGGGAAAATATCATGATCCAAAGAATAATAACAAAGAAGAGGTCTCTTAACAGATTTTCACCATCAAATTCCACATTAATCAACTATTTTCTTGAATTGAAGTTTTTGCAGGCTATGACAGTAAGAAAGGAAAGAAAAGAAAAAGCAAATCATTGATTTAATTCTTTGTACTAGAACAAAACAGCAATTTTCAATCACCCAACGAGATGATGAAGATGGAAAGTACACCACACATATAGAATCCGTACAGTCTGATACAAAATGTGAAACGAAATTTGAAGCGGTGCAAAATTAACGATTTTAAACAGTTCGGTGTTAAAAAATTTGAAAATAAAATAATTGAACTTATTTAATAAAAAAATCAAATCGAAACTGATTTTATTAGAAAATCCGAATCAATAAAAAATTGAACAATTTCAATTAATTTCCTCAAAATCGAGTTAGATTTTATACATAAAAATCAAACATTAAAAACTGAAATCACTGTTGATCATTTTAATTGAATCGAATGGATTGAATTCAATATGATTCGATCAATTTTTGATTCAAGGTCTTTTTTCTCACCTTTAGGCAATACCATTTTTTGTAAGTAGAAGCTGATGACAACACGTTATCATCAGGTTATATAAATTGGTCTAGATTGGTTTTTGATGGAATTGGTTTAGATCGTTAATTAGACAAAAATTTGTGAACATTAAGGGTTATGTATAAAAAGACACGAATATGTTTAATAACCTAAACAATACAAAGATTTTTAATTTTTTGAACCTGTTCATATAAATCTTTTATCTGTTGAAAAATTAATGCCTGGTACAACAAAAAGTGGCTATCACACTACAATTTGTATTTTTTTTCTAATTAAAAAAGGAGAGAAATTGTTGCTTGAATATTTCCTCCTTTTCCTTTTATTTTCCATTTAATATATATATAATCCGAATTTCTTATTTTCTCCTCAAATAAAATCTATCTGGGAAAAAATACATTTCAGTATTGATTGATTTTAACAAGAAAGCAATAAGCAGTAATCATGGAAATAACAAAAATATGGCAATATTTTGTTCCCTGACTTGGGTCTGTATGAACGTCCAGGTCCGACGGAGCGGCAGGCTAGCATTCTTATTTCGGCAATGCAAAGGCCGAGTTGAAGCCCAAACTAATGTTTTTTTGTGGTCAAACAACCTCTTTCCTTAAGCACCAATCCAAGCTCTAATTCAGGTTGTTTAACGCGAAAACCTCTGCTAATCCATTTTCCTAAACATAAATAAGTTTATTAATGATGGCTCAAGTAGAACCATGGCTGGAGCCTTTTGTTGTAGCTTCTTCAAGCCCAAGAGTGGAAAAGGAAAGAAAAGAAAGGTGTCTGCCTTTTTGACGTCGCTCTTTGCAAGCTGTTGAGGTTCAACCTCTCATAAGTGTACAGTTGAGGAAAAGCAGAGCCTGCAAAGTAAAACTAAAACCGTGACACATATTCTCTATTTTGTTTTACCCCCGCGCCATTACATGGATAATGGAGGTACACCAATAGTTAAAAAGATTATCATGGAGATATATTTTGGAGGCAATAGAACAGTATATTGCAACTTAAAATAAGAGAACTGGTATGCCCAAATGCATAATTTGTTGTGCCAAAAATATGCTACTGCTAATGTCTAATGGTAGTGAATAATACTGATGGGTTTATGCAATTACGAGTAGCTGTCACAAGGACTTTTGAACCATTCAATGGTTATTTTAAAGACGGATGATTCTGGTAGTCAATAAAGAAATCACTGCCTCTGCAAGCAGCAGATTCCTCTCTATCACAAATTTTGTACCTGATTGAGATAATACTCTTTTAGTACCCAATTCAAATGGAAAAACATAAAAAAGTTGGTTACCCTTGTCGTGTACTACCATAGCCATGAGCTCTAGAATGGATTTTTCCCCAAGTCTCTTGACTCTTGTTATATATAGGGAGACAGAAAAAGCCTGTTAGAATAATTTCTTGGTTCTTTTAAGAGAAGGAGACAATGACGGGTTTTGAGAGAGCAGTGGAGTGGCTTAAACCATTTGTGGATAGTAAGGCATGGTATTTCTACGTTGTCTGGAAATTGGGTGATGATCCTTCTAAGTACTTTCAACTTACTTGTTTCATTACTCCTACCCACCCAGTATAACCAATATCTTTATTTTTTTTTCTTTTGGGGAGTTCATTTAACTCAAATCAAGTTTTTTTTTCCTTTGTTTTTTTTGTTGTAGGTTTATTGAATGGAAGGATTGTTGTTGTAGTGGTGGTGTTAATGTCAAAGTTGAAAGGGAAGAGTTGCAGCACTCGAGTCCCCTATGCAGGGATGCTCACTTCCAACATTCCATACGATTAAAGGCTTGTGAAGCTCTTTCCTGTTTTCTTTTCTTCATGTCCCTCTATGCTGGGTACACCACTCCTCTCTGTTTCATTTCATTTTGGAGGATACAAGATAGCGAGAAACATTATGATATGTGACAGTGAAATCAGGATCCATGGAAAGGTGGCTATGTCAAATCAACCAAAATGGGTTAACCATGCCAATGCCTCTGGTTCACGTTCTTCACATGTGGGTATTTTTTACTTTCATCACCTTATTTTGGTCATTAAGCAAACAGATGAAATATGAGAACGTAAATCTTGGATTTATAGTTTAAGAAAATGCAGGTTTTATCTTGTTGTTCAAGCAGCTTTAGCTTTCTAAGATTGTAAAAGTGGCTAAGTTGTCATGCCTTGGTTAAGAATGTTTCATCAACCTCAAGCTCATAGTAAAAGTCTAAGATTCTGTTTGTTTAAAAACCACTTTGATGTACTAGTTTAATCAACTAATTGTCGAAATGTACACAAATGCACAGATTGACTTCTTCAAATATTGTAGGTTTTTTCTTTATATATATATATATATATAAGGCAATCATGATCTAGGCAACATGGAGTATCTTATTGTCAAAAAAAGTTGCTTCACTTGTTTCTATGTTTTGATATGATCACTCTGATTTTGATAGGATACAATGGGAACCCAATTTCTGATCCCAGTTCTTGGTAGTCTTATAGAGCTCTCTGTTTCAAAGCATGTAAGATTCTTTGGCCTTTTCAATTGCCAATAGTTTGCATTGTAACTGAGAAATTTATATATATTATCATCCCATTAGTTTCCTTCCAATCTATTGTCTCTTCCGATTGATGAACATATAATTTGTCCTTTTGATCAGATACCTAAAGATCAAAGCATCATAGAGTTAGTAACAACTCAATGTAATGCACTTTTAGAACCAGAAGTCATGACTACAGATAGTTATGCAAAAGCAAAAATTGACAAATGGTATCTCAAAACATTTGGTACAGACTTTCATAACTTGCCATTTCCCATTAGCTTGTCAACCTTCATTCCTAGAATGCAAGCTATTCCCCCAATATCGAATTCAAACTCCTAACCTATCTTGGATGGATCGTCCAGCGGTTCCAGTCCCTTAATTGAACATCCCCCATTTGCTTTAGGTTCTACCTACATTTCTCAAGATGAGCAACTGAAGCAATTAGTTGGCACATATCATGGAAAAAAAAGACTAAGATGCAGCAAAAATGTGTCAGAGCAAAAAGCAGGGTTTATTGTGGATCGTAAAAACAAGTCTGTAGAAGACATAATTGGAACAACCAAGCAGCTAGAAAAAGAGAATTATCATTCTAAGAATCTTACGATAGAGAGGAATAGAAGGAAGAAGATAAAAGATGGACTCTTCAAGCTACGAGCTCTAGTCCTTAAGATATCCAAGGTTAGTCACAATTACCAAAAGCTATAATAGCCAAGTTTAATTTTCTGCCTTTTTGTTTGTTATCTCTAATTTTTTTGTTGTTCAATATTGTAGATGGATAGAACTGCTATTCCTATAGATGCAATCGAATATATAGGAACTTTACTTGAGGAGGAGAAGAAACTCTAAGAAGAACTTAGGAAAATTGAGGAAGAGGATTGTGAAAAGTGTAATGCATAGCTAAAGTGTGCAAAGTTAGACAAGCTACATAAGGACAACATGTCTGCTATTACCTTTGGCCTTGCTAAAATGCCAAAAAACAAAGTAGAGGAAATTGAAATTTAACACATATTTTGTTGTTACTTTTGTCACAGTTTCCATGTACTTACAGTCAATGGGAGGAAATTGAAACTTCTGTCTTGAATCTTTGTTTAGGTACATGTTGAAGTAAACCAAATCACCAAAATAGAGTTTTTGATTAAACTCTGCTATGAGCACAAACAAGGCGGGTTTGCAAAGTTGATGCTAATGTATAGATTCTTTGGGACTTCAAGTGATTGATGCTAATGTCACAACATTTAATGGCAAGGTTCTCAGTATTTTCAAAGTTGAGGTAAGACTCACTTGATGGCTGATATCAATAGAAATAGAGTGCTAATATCTTTTTGGAGGTTTCTTAGGAACAATACGGACTCAATTAGTCCATTTACCTTTGCAAAGAACCAAAGACAGAGTCTGGTACTGTTGCAAAAATAGAAATTACTAGGATGGTTTTTCCTCATATATTGAACTTCTGCAAGGCACATGTCTTCGAAAATAGTAATGAGTCATTTTCTTCCTTAGCTTATATTATCTGCTAATACTGTATCTATATACTTATACAAGGCAAACGGGGATTTTCAGTCCCAGAAATTGAGAGACTTGTTGACCGACCTAACAAACTAGAAAAATCAAATTCCTGCTTGAATATATAGTAGAGGAAAATGGCGGTGGAGAGTGAGACGATGTACATTAAAATGGACAGTTCAGTTGAGAAAGTTTAGAAACTGTTCCATTCATGCTTGATGTAACTTCATTTCGAGGTGCTTCAACAATCATGATTCAAAAACTTTTGGCTGTAAAATCTTAGTGGGTTCCCCCCTCCCCTTGGTGCTAGTTCTTTTACATGTATTTTTACCAAATTCTTCACAAATTTGCTACATTTTTTATGAAACAGTCCAGCAAGGTTCTCTTTCTCGTTTTTTGTTTCTTAAATCTAGATTCTAGATTGGAATCAGAAGCTTCGTGAGATTATTCACTCAAAACTAAAACCATCTCGAGATAGCACCTATAGTAGGAATTAGTCTTTAAAAGCTTTTCCACATACCCAAATTTATAACTCAAGGGAATTAAAGAAGATATCAACACTTTTACATAAAAATGCTATACACATTAGATTCATTTGAACCAAATGTGTGAATAGCCTAGAGATTTCACCTTTGTCCGAAACGACCGCCACCATAGTTCCCTGAAGCACCTCTGTACTCACCACTAGTTGGTTTGAAGGCTTGAGTTTCTGACTCGCCACTGGTGAAGTCACTCGAACTATACCGAGACTTCCAATAATTTTGTTGTCCACGTGATACTTCCTTGGAGTCGTATTCTCCGCTGTACATGTCAAATTCTGAGCTGTTGTCACCTCCAAGTGCCATCCTCCTGAACTTCCTAATCTCTTGACTGTATTGCCCAGAGTCATAAATAGTGCTCTGACCGAATTTGACCCCATTAGAGAGATCAGACTCTCCATCGAAGTCCAATGCTCTTGCCACCTACACGATGGTGGACAAGTATAATTCAATGTTTTGATTACATGACATGATAAATTGAGGGTAAAAAGAGGAATGGAGGGAAAGCGTATATCGAACATGTTTTTACTCCCACTAAGCATGAAATTATGGAAAATCAATAAATGCAGTTTGCTAATAATATTACCAGTGCCATGCGAGGCCGCTTTGCAGCAGAATGCCGGACACATGCAGCAGCTGCCTCAATCATCCTAAACATCTCACTCTCTACGTAACGCTTTTCAAGCCGTGGATCAACTAATTCACTAAAATCACCAGTTTCAAGGGCATTAATGAGAAGTGGTCTTGCCTGCCAAAATTATATATGATTGCATTCCTCAGTTAGAAACCAAGAAAAAGATCATAGGGAGACATATAAAGACATCATTTTAGTAGTCTAATACGTTATGGTTTTTCTCTTTCTTTTTGCTATTTCAGTTGAAATTATACATGCACACACACACACACACACCAAAGACCAGAGTCTAAAGCTTTAAAGAGGAAAAGAAAAAGTTAAATGTCTTATCCATACCCATTCCACCAAACTCTCATCCCCCAAAGGCTGGGTTGCATCAACTGGTTTTCGTCCCGTTATAAGTTCTAGTAGCACAACTCCAAATGAGAAAACATCTGATTTATCTGTCAGCTTACCACTTGATGCATACTCTGGTGCCAGGTATCTGAAAGGCATGATGGAAGATCAATAAAAGCTTAACTATTCATGCATAATCTTAACTCGATTATTAGTATGAGAAGTTATAAAATGCATGGATGACAGAAAGACAAAAAGAGAGTTGGAGAAAAAAAAAGGAAACCTAACCCCCAAGAAAGAGACTCAACTGTTAAAATCATGACCTACCCGAATGTCCCCATGACTCGAGTTGAAACATGGGTCTGAGTAGTGTCATTAAGTTTGGCAAGTCCAAAGTCTGCTACCTGGATTGAAGATATTAACATTTACATTCTAATGCTACCCGTCACAAATAGGGGAAAAAAGTTTTTCGGGTGCATAAAAAAGTGAAAGGAACTTGACATAGGAAATATATAAGATTCACTCGCCTGTGCTTCAAAATCATCTTCTAACAGAATGTTTGCTGACTTAATGTCCCTGTGAATAATTTTTGGATGACCTAGAAATGGATCACATGATAAGGAAGGTAAGAAAGAAATCACAAGAACAGAAATTTAACTAGCAGTTGAATTTTTAGAGTACGGCAAGCAAGAAACAAGTTATCTGACAAGAAGATAATTTATTTAAAAATATATAGAAATTAAACTTTAGAACATTTTGAAGATTGGCAAAAATTAATTCAAGCTATGTATCGCATCAGACCATTAATTATTTCCCTTGGGGAACCACAAGTCAAAGTCATCAATAAGAGATTTAGAATGGCAAATTAATTAGGCACGATTTTTGGTTCACTTACTGAGTCTAGGTATCAAGTCTGTTTAGTTTTAAATTGATATATATGAGCTAATAATTAACTGTATATATTATGCACTTGGAGACTAGGAAACCTAAAAGAAAAATGAAAAAAAGTTAAAGCCATGATTACATTGGAGTTGCATAAGGTTTGAGAATTAAAAAGGGTAATGATTCTGAAATGGTAATTTATCCATATGTTTCTCTGAAATAAAAATGTCTTGAGAAGGAAAGGTATCTTATTAGAATGCATGAAGAGATACGTACAGTCTTCATGTAAATATGCCAAACCCTTAGCAGCTCCTTCAGCAATCTTGACTCTTTTGGCCCATTCAAGCACTGGAAGGTTACCTGATGCACAATGAATTCACAATTTAGAAGCTAATATCAGAATTATATATGTATATACGTATATATACATATTTGGGATCAGAGGGGAACAAAAGAATCATCTTACCATGTAGATGATGTTCAAGAGTTTTGTTTGGGACAAATTCATAGATTAGCAATCGCTGGTTCTCAGCAATACAGAATCCAACCAAAGAGACCAAATGTCGATGATGAACACGGCTAATAATCTCAACTTCAGCTCGAAATTCTCGCTCCCCTTGTCCACTACCTGCCTTTAATTGCTTAACAGCGATAGCTCTCCCATCTGGCAGCCACCCCTTATAAACACATCCAAACCCACCCTCACCAATAATGTTTTGATGAGAAAATCCATTGGTCATTTCCACCAACTCTTCATAGGCGAAAAATGTCTTAGAACTAGCGATAATACCCGAATTGGGACCATGGTAATTTTGTCCTCTTTGACTCCCAAAACTGTTTACCAAATTAGAGTGTTGTTGGCCATGAAGTTGAGAATTATAATGAGTGGTATCAACTCGTGCAGAATGTCCCATAAATACATCTGCATAGCTAACATAAATGTTAGTAAAACATTAAGAATTAAACTAAAAATTAAACACAGAAAGATAGTCAACCATTTTACCTGTTGCAATTGAAAAGTTAGCTGGTGGTGGCATGTAATCGGCATAGGGCCTTGGTCGTCTCTTCCTTCTTCTCCTTAGAAAGAAAACCAAGGCAACGAATGCAATGATGAAAACACCCGCCACTGCCACACCAACCACTACTTCATAATGAGGGTTTTCTGCCTCTTTGTTTTGACTATCATTAGAGCCTCTTGCATGGGAAGATCCACCACTTGAGTTAGAGGGAGTCTTGAGTGGGCTTCGTGGTGGAGGAGCTAGTGGTTGAGGAGAAAAATTACCAGGTAATGATGATGTAGTAGATTCATTTAATGATGGAGGTGAAAATGCAAGTGAAGGTATTGACGTGGAGTTTTGGGGAGGTGGTGATTGTGATAAGGTTCTTGAAAAAGGTGGTGGTGGTGAAGGACTACTGTCAGGAGTATAATCAGAAGGAGGAGGAGGAGATTTTTCTGGTGAAGGTTGTGATGATTCCTTGGAAGGGCTGCTAGGAGATGGTGGTGATTGCTGCTTAGGAGGGCTAGGAGGTGGTGATTTCTGCTTAGGAGGGCTAGGAGGTGGTGATTTCTGCTTAGGAGGGCTAGGAGGTGACTGGGATGATGATGATGATGATGATGATTGTGGTGGACTTTCCTCTGATGGTGGCGACGGCGTACTTGGAGGGGGTGAATCTTTTTCTGGTAGTGATGGGGGTGTTGAGGTTTCAGGTGAGTCTGTGTCTGAAGGAGTTGAAGTTGATTGCTCACTTGAATCAGCATCAGAAGGAGGTGAAGAGTTTGATGAATTTGAACTTGGAGGGGCTGTTGTTGATGAATCATTGTCTCCAGAATCCTCTGAATTCGATGAGGAAGGAGTGCTGTTGTCATCATTAGAGGTTGAGTCGTTTGGTGGAAGGGGAGAGCCTGGTGATTCATTTTCCCCTGTCGCAGAAGAATCCGACGTCTCCTCCGATCCTGACATTCTCCTACCCTTATAATAATCTCCTTCCTCTATAATCAAATATGTTAAAAAAATCCTGCCCAAAATTGTTTTCCTATTTGTATCTGAATTAGAATTCTACAATGGTCCTACAGCAATTGAAAAACTATCTTCTTCTATGTTCAAATGATTAAAAGTAACAAAATAATTCCTCGAACAGAGATATTCAAATCACTAAAATCCTGTCCTATATTCAGATGTTGGCCTAATGCCAAAGTCTCTGTCTCTGTTTCTTATCCTTCCAGCTCCCTCTTAATGCCTTTATATTACCATCAAACTACTTTGCATTACCTAATAGATTGGGCATAGCAATATACAATCTGCAAGGTATAATTAAAAAACGGAAGAAGCAGAAACTAAGAGAAAACCTTTTTCCAACACCCAAAAAGAAAACCAAAAAGACATCAAACGGAGAAAGAAAAAGAGGGCGAGAAAACTTTTGAAACAAAGATTTTGACAAAAGATGCAAAAGAAACGGGGGGAAGAGAAAATGAAAGAGAGAATCCATGGAACATCAACCATGAGAAATCTCTGCTTTACTTTTTTAAGCCAAAACTTGTATATCTTAGTTGTAGGCACAATGGTTTCCCCCCAAGTCCGAACAGCCGCTCTTCTTTTTTTAAGATCAATCCTACTTGAGTTTCGGGTTACCGCGCAATTTAAATGGGCAGCTTGGGTTCTGAAGTGGCCCAGTACCCACTCTTGTCCTTTTCTCTTGGTCTTTGAATCTTAACGGCCGCATGCAAAAAGCATATTGACACTTGCAGCCCAAGTCCAAGAATTAAAAGTACTAGTAGTGAAGACTTGAATTTATGTTTGTCTATGAAGGTATTGACAAGAATACCTTGTCTCGGATTTCTTTCTTGTTGTGCGGCGAAGGAATATAAATTATTGAGTAAAGAAAGCAAAAAAACACGGAAAAGGAAAACCTCATCAAGTAAGAGTTGAAGCCAAAATAGAATTGACTTAATTCCGCTTTAATACTTAATGATTTGATTTTCAAAAAGGTAAAGGTTTAAAATCTTTTTATTTGATTCAATGTTTCTTTTCAAGTAAATCAATCATATCTTTAGTTAACTTGCAAATTGGAATACCCAAAATGATATTAATTCTAAACACATAACATCGATCAAAGTACACAAGTTCTTGTACTATAGCAATTCAATACTTTCATTCAAAATTTCATTAATTTAATCTTTATACTTTGAACATTATATGCAATTTAGTCTTTATAAGTAATTTTGTCTAAATTGGTCCTTAATGACATTGACGCGTTAAATAATAAATTTAACGTCAAATTGACATGTTAAATATAAACTTTTTTGATAAAAAAAATTACCACGTGACTTTTTTTTTTCTTTTTCTTTTTATCCAAAACTACGTCATTTTGATAATACTATTTAAAACATATTTTGTTTTTTTTTTCCATTTTTATTCTATCCTTTTCTCTACCTTATTCTTCTCTCCCTAAGATCAGTCCCAAACCCAAATTAGGCCGGTCACCGCTACTGCTGTGGTCACTCTCTAATGGTCGAAAACTTTTTTTTAAAAAAAAACAAAGAATTCAATCATAAACTCAAAAAAAAAAAAAAAGTACTATTTTCCTTTGCTTTTCCAAAATTTAGTAAAAGTATCCACAGAAAATTTTTAAGATAAACAATAAATCATAGTAATACATAAACCCTTAACTAGTACTACAGATAGAGTTACCAAAGATCAAATGACTGGCATACAGATACCCCACTATAGACAACATGAATTCCACTAGCGGTTATGTAAAACAGGAACAGATTATTACAAGCATCTCTCACCCCACTTTCACTTTCTATCTCAACACAGGCAAGAGTTAGCCAACCAAATAAAAGCCAAATTTGGCAAAAATATTCATCTCGACATCATAGACCCAAAAACCATCTTTGTGCTCTATAGGCTTCAAAATGAAGACAAAGAAAATTGGACTTGACTTGCTCACTTATCTCAGTCTCATGGGTGGGGGGAGAGAGGTGGTTAGTTTTTAAATTTTTTTATTTTTATGTATAGAAAATTTAAAATATATAATTTTATCATTCAAAATAAATTAAATAAATTGGTTTGGAACAGTGGTAAGTGAGTTCAAACCCTTTTAGGTCCCAATTTTTTTCTTTTCCTGTTTTTCCCTCTTTTTTTTCTCCAAACTAAATAAGTGTACTAAACAAAGTGAAAATCTAATGCTATGTTTTCTTTCTACTTTGTCTATTTATACTGATGAATCTGAAAACTTATATTTAAATTGTTAATGAATTTTTATGTCACAAATTTACCTAATGTGAAAATTTAATATTGATTTTTCAAACTAAATAAGTATACTAAACAAAGCAAAAAACTTATGTTAATTTTTCATTTTATTTTGTCTATTTATATTGGTGAATCTGAAAACTTATATTTAAATTGTTAATAAAATTTTATGTTATAAATTTGGGTAATGTGAAAATTTAATGTTAATTTTTCTTTCTATTTTATGTCTATTTATATTAGTGAATCTGAAATTTTATATTTAAATAATTAATAAAATTTTATGTTATAATTTTATTTTATTTTAGAAGTAATTAATTTTTTATTCCGAATTGAATTATAAATCCGGTCTATGATTGTATATGATTACTCTTTAACCACCTCTTATACAAAATTCTAAATCCACCACTACTGAGTTAGGCTCCTTTCTTCTTTTTGTCTTTGGAAAAGTTCCTTTTGTGAGCATTCTTGTTGTAGTGGCCATGGCCACAAGCTCATAGAAGAGGACCTTACAAGCATAAGGAACGTGCACATGCAATACAAAGTTTTGTGGGGTTTTTTTAATAAATTTTTTACCATTGGGGACACAGAAGGGTAGGGTAGAGAGAGGAGAGCTGGAGAGCAAAAGAATAGGAAAAATAAAAAAGAAAAAAAACTTAATGTGCTTAAAATAATTTCATTAAGATGATGTAATTTTGGATAATTAAAGAGAAGGAAAAAGAGAAAAAAAATAAAAATGAAAGCCACTTGGTCATTTTTTGTTTCAAAAATTTTTAATGACATGTCAGTGCTACGATAGTATCATCTAACATGTCAATGTCACGTTTGTGACTCTAACTATCAATTTTTTTGAATATTAGTATTCTAGTAATGAAAATAATTTACACAGTTAAGCACCATGTTCCCATTGACTGCTAAGAGAAATTATCTTCTAACACAAACCAACGATTTGCTGATTCCACCAAGACACTAATAAAACTAATAATCTACAACGCTAGCAAGTTACAACCAATACACAACACAGTAATTTCCATTGCTTATCAGATTTGAAAATTGTAAACGTTTCTGAGCAAGTAGTCCTACTGTGATGATTTGGAGCTATTTCACCTTGTTGGGACTCAATAAGCACTTGCGAAGCTGCAATCTCAAAAGAATCAATCCCCAAACAAAGACCTGATGTGGACTTGACCGAATTTATTATATACCTAAATCAACCTCCAAAACAACGAACTCCTACTTCCAAAAATTTAGTAGCTTCAGCAGCCTGTTGGTTAGTCACAAGGCTCGTAATGGTTTTGAACAATATTTGGGTTGGAGTTTCTACTAAGGGATTCATCACTGCTTTCCTTAGAATCATCATCTTCATCCCCATATGTTACACAGACTAAATTAACGAAATTTTGTTAAATGGGATTAAGTTGAACAAAACGTTATAATACAAAGACCTTCTGTGTATTTCGGCTCACAATATTAGCATGGCCAAGGTATCACTAGGGGTGAGTAAATGGGTGAATTAGGGAATTTGGTTTGTCATACTTAAAGACCAAATAGACCAAACATTTTTAGAAAACCAACCAAACATAAAGAAAGACCAAATTGATCAAACATAGAATTGATTTGCTCATTTTAGTTTTGGACAAATTGATCAAAATTTGTATAAATAATAATTAATTATAAACAATATGTTATAAAAATTAAGATGATAACTAATAAAATTATTAAGTGTAATCATATAATAAAGTCTATTATAAGTTACAATAATGCTTATGGATAAATTAAATATATATAATATATTACTTTATGATGTATATATGAAATTAATGACACAATTTATACGTTATAATACTTTATATCAAAATTTATATAAATAATAGTTAATTATAAATAATATGTCATAAAAACTACATTAATGGATCTCTTCTGCTCCCATATGCCCTCGACTTTAACTATGTCATTTAGACCACATTTTCCCTGTTTTCTCAGTCTCTCGTTTTGCTGTTTCCCATTGGTTTTTCATGTATTGCTATTTCCAAGCCATGACCCATTGGCCTTCTTTGGTGCCCTCTTGCCATAAGTGATATTTGCTCAACTTTCATGTTTTTGTTTTCTTATCAATATATATCTATTTCTTTGGTTGAGTAAAAAACAAATGTAATCATCTAAATGAAATTTATTATAAGTTACAGTAATATTTATGGATAAATTATATATATAATATTTATACAATTATATATACATATATATTCATAACATTTTATATTACGAAATATTATTAAGATGTAATAATTATAACGTATTAATATGTAGGATATTTACTATCATATATTATAATATTAACATATAAATTATATAATTTAAAATATATAACTTGATATTTTGTATTAATACAAATTTATAAATAAATAAATAAAATTAAAATTAATTGCTTTGATTATGTTTTGTATAAGTGCATAAAATAAACTGATATATTTTAAGTATATTATTAATTAAGTATCCCATCAACTCTTCTAAATATATATAAAAATATCATATATATTAGTATATAATATATATATATATAATTAGTTTTATTTTTTGGATGGATTAGTCTAAAAATTTTAAAACCTATAACCGAAAAAAAATAATTAAATCAAATATTTTAGACCAATTGATCTAATGGATCAATTAGACCAAACCATTTTATTCAAATCGAATTCAATTTGGATAAGCAATTGGTCTAGTTTGGTTTTGTTCAGCTCTTAGTATGACTATATATCTCAAACTTACTTCTAAAGTAATTGAATTTATTTTTCTTTTTTTAAAAAAATTAATTTCTATGTAATTACTAATTATCTAAATTGTCCTTCCATGCAAAGAAAGCATTCTCTCAATTATAGACAGAATCCTTAACTTTCTTCACAGGGTAGAGGCTATTTTCTTAATTGCATCTTTAATAAAAAAAATCAACATTTCCAACGTGGCTTAGGATGCTTGACGACCTTTTCCGTATTAGGTTTACACGCTGCGGCACGAAAACTGTTTTTGGGCAATTGACTTGCCAAGCCGCAATATCTTTTTCCTTTTTACAATATTACTTTATTAAAAAAACAACAATGTGTATCTGTTATGTAGCGCAGCAATTGATTTCCCATTGTTGGTTTTTCCTCTGAGTCAGGGCCGACAATTCTAAATTGTAAAGAAAATAGATGAGCCAAATTCCTGTAGAAGATCAAGTCGCCATGACTATGAATAATGACGAAATCGCAGACGCCACGTCCGAAAGCAACCCAGTCGATTCGTGTTCAGATGATTTTGAGTTTTTCACCAAAATCGGATTAACAAAGTTACAAGAACCGTCCCTGGAACATACCATCATCAAAGCAAGCTTTTGCACAGGCATCGGGGATCAATCCGAGTTGGCTAAGAAAATAAATATCGTGGCAATTCATAAGAATTCCCATTCTAGTCGTTCAAGAGAAGCTCGGGCTGATAGTTTTCAGGTTTTCGCTAAAGCGGTGGCTGACAAGTGTGGTGGGGATGCTAATTTGAAGTATGGTTGGTATGGTGCTTCCAGAAATGAGATTTGCGAGATTGTGATGCATGGATTTAGTTGGTGTAACACGGCTGCTGGTAATCGATACAGCATCTCTTTGTCTCCTGCTAAGTTCGCCTTTGACAGGTTAGCTTTTCTAAACTGTTTTCTTAATTGTTTTTATGATGATTTTTATTGATTTGTTACGTTATGTAGATGTTAGTGTTGTATAATTGCTGGGTTCAGACTCGTTTTTGAGAGAATACTTAGAGGAAGCTAAAGCTTCTCTGTTAAGTTTTTTTCCTGAGAAAGCTATAATAAAAACTACCTCAAAAGTTAGGGTTATGTTTTTCTCGTGGCAGGTGCTGCTCCTTTCCAAATATCTTTTTCTTTGATAAATTCATTGTGTTTGGTAGGGGCAAGTAATAGCTATTTAACAATAAACATTTGCATTAACAAGCATTAGAAAGTAGCTTCAATTGTTAGCATTATAATTAGCATTGTCAAATCAAATTCTGGCTTTCGATCTTATAAATTATCAAAACATCAGATTTAATTTCGTTATCATAATTTGTATAAATCAAGTTCTTATCATCTCAAATTTGTTAATGTGAATCTGACTGTTAACATTGTCAAACTATTTTAGGTAAAGTTACTAACATGACTTTGATCAAGTTGATATAGCATTGATCATGCTGATATTGAATTTTTTTGAAGATTTTAAAAACTAGATCAAATTTTAAATTTAGTCATTGTATTCTACTAAAATGTTGAATTTAGTTTTTTTTTACTATAATTTGTATAACTGGAGTCTTTATACTTTCATATTTTGTTAATGTCAATTCAATTGTTAACACCGTCAAACAAGCTTTCTCTATTAAAGTGGTTGATGTTGATGTGGAATTTTTTAGATTATAAATTTTAAAACTGTGATATGGGTGTTTAGATAGCTTTGTTTAATTACTACCTAAAAGGTTAAAAATCCAAACTACACTTTAAATTTTAAAGTAATTAAGATTAGTCCAGTCACAAAGAAAGAAATAAGGGTTTAGAAAAAGCTACTAGTTAACCAAACCAATTAGGATTAAAGAATGTATAGTGAATTGAGAGAGAAATTTCATTGAGATATAAGGAAGGATACATATTGATCGAACAAGTGAGTTTAGCCATTCGTCTCAAGCTCTTCATAACCTTGGTTGCTATGAATATTATAGAACCAAAAGTTTTGTGCTGTAGGAGAGAATTGAAATAAAGGGGAAGAATCGAGAGAGGGAATTTGAAGCAAATTTAAAAAAATTTTGGTTGTATTTGAGAGAGAATTTGAAAAAGGTGGAAGCGAATTAAAACTTGTGTAATGTAGAGAGAATTGAAGTATAGTAGTGTAAGGTGGAATATATATGAAGCTAAGTTTGAAGAGATTCGCACACGCTAGTCTTAGAAATTGCTTTTAATTTTTTAAAATTTTTATTTAGATATTGCTGTTTCTAATCCGATGATTATTTAGAAATTTCAAATTAGTATTGATCAATGTCATGTTAACATTCGTCAACACCATGAGCCTAGTCAAAACAAAGTTTAGAAAATAACTTATATTATTTTTTTAGCTATCAACAATAAAGCAATTAATTGTTGGTGCTAAATTCTCCTCATAATTATGAAAAATCCTCTTCTTTCTTCTTCTCCTTATTTTTGTGTATCTAATGACAAATTTTATATCCCTAAGTACCAAAGTAAAATTTCATTGATTTTCAAGGTGCTACAAGTTGTTCTTTTTTTAAAAAAAAATCAAACTTTCTTAAGTGAAACATGTGCATTGATACATAAGGTTACTAATATATATTTTGCTCTCATGTTGTGCAGTGTGTTGTCTTCGGAGGCTGATGAAAATGGATTGAGGCATGTGCTTTTATGTCGCGTTATATTGGGGAAACAAGAAGTGTTGACTGCCAATTCTAATCAGTTTCATCCAACTTCTCCAGAGTTCGATTCTGGTGTAGATGATCTTTCAGCACCCAGAAAATATATTGTTTGGAGTGTTTACATGAATACTCACATCCTCCCTTCTTATGTCATCAGTATAAAGACCCCTTGCTTAATCGGTAAGTAGCTTAATTTAGATGCAACTTTGCTGATTGTCATAATTAATTTGTTTCTACTTTTATCCCATATCATAACTAGAAGGCTCCCAAGGATTCCTAGAGGCAAATACCATCAAGCCTAATTCAAAATGGGTGAGGTTCCCCACATTGATTTCAATGCTCTCAAGGTTCTTAGAACCTTCACAAATTGCTTCCCTTAACAAGAACTACAGTGATTTTCGAGTAGGTGTATTTATATTCTTATCTCTAAACTCCATATAAACTTTGGTGTTATGTCATGTTCAACATATTTCACTTTTGGCTCTCATCTTTAGATATTTTCCATACATTTCATTTTTGCAGGAAAAAAAGATTACAAGGAAGCAACTTATAGAAAGGATGAAAGAAATAGCTGGTCACCAGGCCGTAGCGGCAATAGTCGACCTGTTCGCAAAAAAGGTGCAGTTTTATTCAACTTTATTATTATCTAGTATTATTTTACTTTTCTCCCTTTTCTCCTCCCATAGTTTTTGCTCCATGACCAGTAAATTTATATATTTAGTTCAATTATGGTGTATCATGTATTCTTACTTTCTGCGTCAACAACTTGCCCTGCAAGATTGGATTATTGCAAAGAAATGGCATTTTAGCTCGTTGACTTTGAGAACCTCTCCATAATAATAGCATACCCCAATTTGAAATGAGCAGACAGTTCCCGCCACTTGCTAGTTCTTGTCTCTTTTCGAGCATTGATGTCAGACTATAGGTGGGTCTAAAGGCTAAGCCTTTGACAACTTTCACTTCAATTGTTTATGGTATGAAATAGGGTTCACTTCTTTGCTAAGAATATGGCTAGTTTTTGTCATATTAAATTACTCTCTCTTTTATTTTTTAGAAGTCGCTTTTAAGGGGTCAGAGTTTAAACTTTCAACTTTCAATCCATAACTTCCTCAACAAGAGCACGTGGGTTGGTTTCTTCAGCACAATTTTCCTTTGCTGGATGGAGATAACTCCCATCTATAATGATTCTTGCACAATAATTCTTTTCTGTTTCAAGATGGATTCAGTTTTCTGGTTTTAGTTCGATCTTAGATTCATCAAGTTCAAGCTGTTAATTAATCAGGTCTTACTGTGCAGGAGAATGAAGGTAGCAGCAGCAGCAGCAGCAAAGGCGAAGCAGGAGCTGCAAAAGGCCGTTGATGCAGAGATTGGAGGTCTTTAGCCTTGGAATGGAAATCGAATGAAGTACTATGAATTTTTTTTTTTTAAAATGATGTTTCATTCATTCCAGAGAAAGGATTATCCAAATACAAGCATTTTAAGTTCTAAAACTAATGGGGTATCAGTCCTTAACCTCCTTCCCATCCCTGCCATGATATATAAAAATTCTCTTTCTTTGCCCATTTACAATTGGCCCTTAAATACCTACACATATCAAAATTAGCACTTCCTACAAATATTATTAAGACTGGAAAGCATAGCCAGCATGCCCGTTTCCTTCTCTTGCTAACTCTATCAACAATTTGAAACAACACGAACTCACAAAACGCTAAAAAGGCTTCATTGCCTTCACTGCAACTGTCAAATCCGCTTTGAAACAGTATTCCAGACCCCCTCGCAATCTCTATATCACCGTCTGCACACAAGAATCAAGGGGCTGCACATAAAGACAGAAAACACAAAACCAAATGTTCCCATAATCAACGGCCTTCACAAAGTCAATAAGGAAAAACTTGCAGCAAACCATTAATTCTATGAACTCCAATTTGGCCATCTCATTGCCAAACCTCGGAGTGTTGTGTACCCCAATTTGGGACCTCTGAGTGTGGTGTACCTGCCACTAGAGACCTATAAAGCCATCAAAGATAATTTATTTCCTATAAAGCCATATGGACCACAAGATTATCAAATAAGACATCCTCCACACCTTCCTCCTAGCAATATCGACGGGGTAAGGATTTCAGTTAAGAAGAATGAAGTAGCTTCCCCCGATAGCAGTGGCAAAGCCAAGGTTTTAAGTTTGACGGAATAAAAATAAAAAATTTAATATTTGAGAAGATGAAAATATAAATTTTTTTTTAAAAAAGTAAAATTTTAAAATAAAGTAAAAAAATGCATATAAATTTTTGAAATTTTACGGGACGGGGCCTTTCTAGCGTCCCTCCCTCCGCCTCTGCCTAGTAGTGATGTCCCATTCCGCCAACTATAAACACCATAACTCCGATACAGCTCTACATCTAAAGAATAAGGGATTAGCAGATTCCATGTCCTTGTTGAACGAAATGCACACAAACATCTCCCTTTGTAGTAAATTTTTCTTGAGAAGCTGTTTTTTTAACCACTGTTCTTCCTTTTATTACCTTTAAACAAAAACTTTTATTTTAAAAAGACATCAACGCATTTGATTCATTAATAAATATATGATTCTTTATCTAAAGGATAAGATTATTATCCACTTGAAATGCTTTGTCAAATCAGTGTATTTTCCAAATTCCTATCAATTTAAATATAATTAAGGTAATATGAAATTGATTGATTCATTCTCAACCATCACTAAGTTATAATTTATAATTTTTTTTAATTCTAATATAAAAGAGTTGAAAATTTGGCAATTGGAATTGTTTTATCAAACATTTAACGGAAGCATATTGACGTATGAACTTGATCGTGAAGCTCATCGTTTTGTTATCAACAAGTGAAAACTCTTAAGTTAGCAAATATCATTGGCTTTTAGCATGAACAAAGGAGCCGCCGGCTTTAACCAATTATATCTCCTAGGCTTTTATTGTGGGAAAGGGCTACCCCACCACGTCCAAGCAGTCAGCTTTGTATGAACAGAGAGACGCTTGGTAACTATGACCAGACCAAGGACAGAGCGCATTTTGTGATCATCGATCGTTACAATAAAACCCTAGTCATCTTAATTACGGAGTTGTCCCCCATTTTGCTTTTAAATGGCCCACTTCTATTCCCAAGCCGCTAAATATGCAACTCATCCCATTAATATTAATATGTTTACATTAATTGTAATATGACAAGTATCATTTTTTGATTTTTCATTCTCCATATCTGCATCATCTCAGCACCCAGTGATTATAGAATAATAAATAATATTTTAATTAATATCAATAATTAATCAACCATTAATTATAAAAAAAAAAAAATTATTTGATTTTTTTTTTTTTTGATAGTTCAAGAGTTTTTCAATCAGACTCCTGAAATTGTTTCATAAAATGACGAGACCAAAAAATTAATCCGGAAAGTGTGGTTAAGGGTTGACATGTGTATCAGGATGAAAATTCAATCAAAAGTGCATGAACAAGCCAACATAGCAGGCTGTATGGCAAGCTGATGTGGAAGGCAGAAAGTCTGTCCATGCAATTATGCCCGTTTCTCCGTGAATTACGACTTCTAGAGAATTAGGCTGCCCGCGCGATTATGGGATAATTTTTTCAAAATCAAATCCGTGGGATTAAGACTCATTCACCCACATTTGGGGTGGTGAGTTAGATTTTATCCCACGACGGACGGGAACAATCTCTTTCAGACTAAACCGATTTAAGCTAAAATACTTGTTTGGCCCAATCCAAGTCTACCGCATCCTTTTTCCTAGGGTGGGCTGTGTTGTATGTGTAGTAGTGGTATTAATTATCCCAGGGACGACCGTGAAAGGCAAATATCTGCCAAGAGGCAAGAGCTAGGCTGCAAGCTGGCATCAAAGTTGAGAATGGTGACATTCAAAAATGGTTAAGGAATGTTTCCAGGAGCAACTGCGGCTATATAGTTCCAGGTCAAGCGAAAGGAGGCCTTGGGTTTCATATTATTCTGTACAATCGTTTTCTTGATTAGGTCCCATGATTAGACCCACATTCAGCGGAAGGAATATGATGGAAACCCTTATAAACAGACAAAACATAACAAAACAAAAAAGGGGAAAGAAAGGGGAACATGCATTGGCTTCAACTCAATCACTTGAAAATTGAACTTGTTCGAGACAGCAAGCGGAAAATCGCGTGGGCTTTTTTGTTCCGATGGAACCAATGGGGTTGAAAGTCAACGTTTGTGCCAATAAGAGCCTAACTCGACACGGACCAACAAGTTGCTAGGACGTTTAGCATTTGCCTCTTATTAAGCAGTACCAACACATTGTCCTACTTGTCGACCTTGTAAATGTCTTACAGCTCCATCATCGAAACTTCCCAATAGACCTCGTCAATGATGTTTTCTTTATTTATTTTGTTCTCACGACCGCTTCGGACATTATTATCTCCTTAATGCCCAAGCTACCTTATCCTATCCGGAACCCAACATGCGCCTTTAAATATCCAACTATTGTTTGAAGATTGTCGTCACCTCAAACCTCAGCTACTTGGATGACGTTTCATATTTTAAGATTTTTGAAAGAAATTTAAGTAAAAAAATCATACACTAATCAATAAACTAAATATTTGAATAAGTAAAATATTCATTCTCATCAACAAAAAAGTTTTCCAATATATACAAAGTAAAACATCTATATGAAAAAGACAAATAAAAATTTTTTATTAAAAATTTATATAATCATGTTAAAAAATTTCAAAAGAATTTACAAATGCATCACCGTTGAATATATGTATGTGGTCAAGAATTGAATATGAACGTTACTTGATGTGTAAGGATTCTTTCTACTACTCAAGAGTAGTTGAAATCTCCACTGATTTTATTTTATTTTTCTTATTTTAATATACTATATATTGTCAGTTAAAAATGTATATGATTATATATACATCTTGTCAAATAATAATTTTTTAATACTTTCTTAATCAATATGTGAACTAATGTCTCTAAAAACTTATTTAATAGGATTTATATATATAGTTGGGAATGATAAAAATAATAACATATTAATAGTTACATAGTACTTATAATCAGTGAAGGAAGCAAAAAGCAAGAAAACATGTTACATTGTATAGATGAAGCAAAGATTGGTATTGCAATCAATTCCAAATATTGATTGCAAATTTTTATTTAATGAGGAGAGTAAGCCCCCCCCCCCCCAGTCCCCTCTCCATCCCCCAAATTAAAAAATTGGTTTGGCCAACTGACTACCCTTGTTCCCCAAAGCGGGCAGCATGGCGGTAACCCCATTGCATCAGCCGTGATGCATCTACCCACCAAACGATGGAGTATTTTTGTTTAACCAGATGTGCAGCTATACCATATAACCATTAAACCATATACCATTTTTGACCTTGGACTTTCCAAATCTGATCATTGGTCAATGTAACCTGCGGGTGACACCCAGTCAACCTCAAACACATTCATCCTTCCAGAACCCCCCGCCTTGCATCCGGCGAGCTATTTGAACACGTGTTACGTGCCCATCAAGCATCCTCACCCTTTCGCCTTCCTGAGAATTTTCTTTAATTTTATTTTTCCATTCCCTTCCATCCCATTTGCATTATCGCCTACGTGTTAAAATTAGTATAATATTTCCGCGTTCATATTATTAAAAATAAAAAAAATTAAAAAGTGTTGGAAGTTTCCATCGTCCCTACAGCCAACCACCCCTATTAAAACCCGACAAAATCAACCACGTCCTTGTATTATTTCTCTATCGGGCGCAAAGATATTGAAAGGTTTGATTTCAGGTTCTTGTTTTCTTTACGATGCAAGTCATGAGTTCTTCTCTGTCTTTGTCTCCAAGCTTCAATAAGTATTCTGGAACCGGGTTTTCAGACATCGCCAGCAAGTTTACCCATGATTTTGGAGTTAAATTACAGCTCACAACCGAGAAGCCTAATAAGGAACAAGAGGAGACACCAAGCAATCAGCCGGAAATGGAAGAGGAACAGGAAATCGAAGAGGAGGAGGAAGACGAAGAGTTTTCATTTGTTTGTTTAAATCCCGGTGGATCCCCGATTTCTGCCGACGACGTTTTCCAAAACGGTCAGATCCGTCCGGCTTTTCCGCTCTTTAACCCAGATCTTCTCTTGGCCGACGAATATGGCTCTGTTTTGAAGTCTGAAGACGCTGACGTCTCTCTACGGCCTCCGTTGAGGAAGCTTTTCGTGGAAGATTCACCGGACACGACGTCGTCGAGCTCGTCGCAACCGGAGGGACCGTACTGCGAGTGGAGGAGAGATGGAAAAACTGTGGAGGAAACCTCACCGGACACGTGTAAGAAGAGCAACTCCACAGGGTTTTCCAAGCTTTGGAGGTTCCGAGATTTGATGCTTCGAAGTAGTAGTGACGGCAAAGACGCGTTCGTCTTCTTAAACCATCCTCCTCCGTCGTCAGTAAAAACTGAGAAGAAAAACGAAAAAGAAGAGAAGAACGCGAAGCTGAAAGTAACAGGAGAGAAACCAAAGGTGAAGAAGGAGAAGACTAATAAAACGACGTCGCTGTCTGCTCACGAAAAGCTTTACGTTAAAAACAGAGCCATGAGGGAAGGGGATAAACGGCGATCGTATTTGCCGTATAGACAGGTCGGCTTTTTCACTAACGTCAATGGCCTAAGCAGAAACGTTCATCCATTCTAGGTATTTAATTAATTTTTTTTAAAAAAAATCCTTTTATTAGTACTAATTTTTAATTTAATTAATTTTTTTTTTTTTGTAAATCTTGGGAGTAGAGTGAGTGAGTTTTGTTGGGGATATGGAAGGTTTATGACATTATAAATCAAGATTTCTTTCTTGATAATGTTATTCTGATTTGTTTATATAATATTTATGAGAGCAGTCCAATAATATAAATGTTTATTGGGCTCAGATAACTTATTATCCATTTTTTTACTCTGATAATTAATTATCGTGTAAAACAATGAATCCCCAACGTGTTCAATGATTAGTATGACAGTTAATTATCTTCATAATAACGAGATTAATAACATCTTAATCATATTTAGTAAAAGCTTACTTGCATTAAACAAAAAGGAATAGAAAAGGGTCTGTCGCCAGTGTTGCAAAAGGTGAAATGACAATTTTAGGAGCACAAACTCTTTAATTTTCCCTCAACAAAGTAATAAGGAAGACTTAATCCTCCCCAAAACATGCGTAAACTAATTCCTGCAATTAGAGAAGTTTCCAGGGAGTCGGAGTTTCTAAAGCTAAAGGCTTGGATTTGAGAGCATATTCTAATTCGTTTTCAGCCGGAGACACCCTTGCCACTTTCACAAGATGAACGAACGTGTAAAGAAATTTCACAGACCAAAAAATAAAGGAAAAACTTGGATGCTCGCAAAAGAGGTTGGATCTGACAGCGCCATTTCTTTTTGGTTCACAGGAAAGTGGGGTTCACTACTTGCCAAAGCTAGCAGAATTATACAACCGGCCAATTTCACAAAGGGACCATCCGTCCTTTAGCTGACCCTTTTTAGTTGTAGGCTGAGGCAGTGGACCACATCTGGTTGGGTTCCTGGAAGGATTCCCCAGTCTCACATGAACCCTTCATTGTTTTTCCAGCTCTACCCACATTTTCATAAGCAATTTGTTTGGGTCAGAATTTTCCATGTCCTATAGAGTAATTAGAGTTTGCGGCCTTTTGGTATGAATTATAAGATCATATTAAGAAGAAAAGTAAAGGACAAGGAATAAGTTCTTGTCGGCGTGTATATATATATTTAAATGGAATCAGAACTCAGAAATCAACTTTCTGTATTCAAAAGCAACCACTATTAATGAACCAGCGACCGACAACCTAATGGAGTAACTACAATGCACGTGAAAGAAACAAAATGATTTGGCCCCCCCTTGGCAGTACATGTTCATCCAAACATTTATGAACGTTATTTGCAATGTGTGAAACCCAGCGTTTAGTCCAAACAATGTATTTCTTCGCATTAACAAATCCAATAAGGAAGAGTTTACGCAAACAATAATCATCTAAGAAAGCATACTGATCTGCAAAGTAACTGATGCAGGATGAAAATAGGCTAATTGAGAGATTATCTAAAGACTTGATTGTATATTTTATGGGTTTAACTGTGATTTTCACATTTATATAAGTTATTTCATATTTTACTTATTTTTCCTTAGTATTAGGGCTTTAAAATTATATATGGTATTTTGCATTTTAGGTTTAATTATAAATACCTAGGTTATTTTATTCTAATTATATATTTGGTATTTTTCTCCCCCTTATTGATTCTTGCCGGTTGTCTCCCTTTGTTCTTCCATTTCTCTCCCGATTTCCTCTGTTCCTCTCTATTGGCTTATATCCATTTCTGATTTTCCCTCTTAAATTTTTGTTTTCTATTCCTTTCCCCTACTTGTTTCACATCAATAACGCTCTGGTTTAGGGGACCATATTCGAATTGCCAATGTCAGGAACTCTCTCAAGTCTTGAGATATTACAGATTTCATATTATATGCAAGCAATGGCAGTTGGTGTCCTCTAGAAACTGGAAAGGCCAGGCAGAGAAAGGGAACCAAGAATGAGGAAGTAGGTTGCCCTTGGACAAGGGTAGAGCCAAGAATTTCTCAGCGAGGGGATCAAAGCAACACATAATGAAACCCTATGTCTAAATAAGTAAAATTTTACTATCTTTATTCCAAAACTGAATTAAGTTCGATCAATTACTAATAACCAATGACTAATGTATAACATGAAGATAGTCGCCCCTTCTATCTCTAAAAAGGAGGTCAAGGGTTCAACTTTGTCCTCTCCTAACAATTAAAAAATCTTATAACAATACATATTTTTCATTTCTCCAACTAAATTCAAAAAAAGGTATTAATATTTGTTCTTTTCCTTAATCAATACATATGGATTACAAAGATAGATAATATGTAAAACAAAAAGATATGAGTATAAAAAGTAAAAAACAAATGTTTTGGCAAGTAAGATAAGGTTGATCATATTAGAATCACATAAAAGAATTTTCCTATCATAATTGATCATGTCAATTATAAAAGTGATTTTAGGTTATAAGAAAACAAGTTTCACATGGACATATGGTATATAGTTCTTATCTCCTTACAGGAGACTTCAAAATCATTTTGGGGGCACGGGAGAGGTTATGACCTCCCAATCTCATCACAGCAACTGGAAGACTTTGATATTAGTACAAAATAACCAAATTCTAAACAAAATGAAATGCATGCATATCAAATGAAACTGTAATTAATTAAAACACATTATAGGTGCAACCTCATCATTATTACAGCTATACATGAAGCAATATGCACACTTATTTAAAGAAACACTGTTTTTACTTAGCGTTCTTTTATCAGCCAAATTCTGTTATGTGGCATGCAGGTTGCACCCATTTAATTGTGGACATTAACATAATTCAGCGCAGGTCAAAGATCTCAAACCTTAGATTTGAATTTTTGTAGACATGAGTGCAATGTTCGTAAATGGAGCTCCCGTTTTCTGTTTCTTTGTGAGAATGAAATTGAAATCCTTTCTCCTGGCATTCTTTGAGTACACTCATTCCACTGGGGTCAGAAATCCGGAATATCCCATAACTCCTGGGAAAAATCAATAAGGAAAGCTCAATGCAATTAACTTGATCATGATTTAATGCGCTTGGAGAACTTTATGCTGATACTTCTTATTGATGTGTACACAGAGCAGGTCTTACGTATTTTCACTTAAAATAATCAGAATATTCAAGTTTTTCTTACAGAGGATTTATACCATTAGAGCTTGCCTGTTGAGGCAGTCTCACCTAGCATGTGGTTTTAAATTCCTTGCCATCTAAAACATATACAATTCATTTGTGTGAGAGTGTAACTTGAGAGCTATGCATTTCAAGACAAACTCAGATGAAGCAAAGTCAAAATTGTTCACAGACCTTTCTGCTTTTACTAGCTAAAATTATAGTTTACTACTTTTACTACTTTTATTTCAAAGAACAGCGAATTCAACAGATTTGTGAGAAGTGGCCCAAATAAATATTGTAACAAAAGGTAGATACAAATCCATGTTTATATTAAAGGCACATCAGTGTCAAATATAAAGGCAGTCAGAATGCGGGATGATTTGGCCTTCTGAACAAATAAGGAAATAAAGAGAAAAAAAACACTAATGATGGCAACGGTAGGGAGTGATATTGAAACCTTGCATAGGCAAATGCAAAGCCATCTATACTAGAGGTGAAGAAAAAAAATAATTTATCAGCAATATGAAAAACAAAAGTATAGCACTAAATATAAAGAAAGTGGATGAAAGATAAACCCAAATATGCAGATGAAGGCATTATCTGTATTGTCTATAACTTGCACAAACAATTTCATAATCCAAGTTGTCAACAATCGAATCAATGTGTATGAGTAGCAGACCTTGAGTTATCGGTAGGAGCCATAACAATGGCAAAAGCCTCAGGCACCATTACCTGAAAATAATTTAAGGAGAAAGCTAATATTGTGGCAATATATCCAATAGCCGACAAGGGAAACAACTACCATAAGAACTGCACTTTATATGTAACTTCCATCTAGAAATTATTACTTTTGTTTCCTAAAAGATTGCTGCTCAAAATATCAGAATATGATACATAGGTTAAACATGTAAGATTAGAAAGTTATCCAGAAATAAAATCTAGGATGATCTAGACCAATTCTTTGAGCAATAATTGAGGCGCATAAAAGATTAACTCAATTACCTGATATGAGTACTGAGTATGGAGATCTATTGATGACATGAAACAACTCTGAGAAGGGTGTGTCTGAAAGTAAATAAGAAATGTAGTACTGAGGTCAGCTTGAGCGCATAGGGGGACTTGCATCTTGAGATATTACCTTTTTCTTGTATAATCTACAGAGGAAAGAAACAGAGATCTAAAAGAAAATAATGAAAGAAAGAAATGGACATACATGTATCCATCCCAATGGATAAAGCGACCGTTCATTTTGTATGGCAAAAATTTCCTCCTCATTTTTAGCCTGACACTATCATTCATTACTGACAAGTTAAGAACTGGAAGCGCTGAGCATAAACCAAAGTTAAATATTAAGCCAATTAAGGTGTGAAAAGGTACTGCACACTTACAGAATTTGAAGTTGATTCCTGTTTAGGTATTATGAGAGTGGTTACATAGAATGTCCCCCTTTCCTGTTTCATTAAGGTAAAGGAAATGGATGAGTTGAAATAAAAATTCTGGAAATTAATTGACCACAGAAGTAAAAGTTCAGGAGAAATGGCCTCAAAGTCCACAACAATAATTGCCAACATTAATAACATGATGCAGATTTTAACAGTAGAAATTTTTGCAGCCAAAAACATACAGGCAAATTAGCTCTCACTCAAATACAATGAAAAACTCACGTATGACAAGAATGAATTAGAGACCAGCTATAATGTTTGAGAAACTAGCAAACATTAGTTGAATGTAGGAATGACTTGGTAAGCTCCATTGATAGAAAATTTACCAAGACTGTGCTTAGGTTGGTCATAGGTTGATAGTAATTTTTATCAGAATATGCAAACTTACAAGCATGCTAGATTTCACTGAGTTTTAAACAGGAAAGAGAACAAGGCTATTTCTAATTCCCACGTACTTTGAGCTAACATAACAGCAGGAAAATAAAACAACTAACAGTGACTTTCATACCTAACAAAAGTTTCATAGTACCATTTACCATGTTATGCTTCTACCAACTTCCAATTTTTTCATGAAATAGGCGTAGGCAATTTTATCATGCATTACACAAATGTGGGGGGAGAAGGGCCATCCATAGGATTGCTTACAATGTACATGGACTCAATTTCCAATTGTAACCATACATATGAAGCATACATGTAATAGCCCAAGAAAAGTGATTAGATAAGCGAGCTAATATTTAATATTAAGGTCTTTTGTAGGCCAAGGACACCAGAGGACACTGAAAGGTATAGAAGCATTTGTTAAAGCATGAACCTTACAAGAAAAGAACCAATTATACCAACATTAGGCAGTTTATGATGCTATTACATATCAACAACATAAAACAATGCGACTGTTAAAGAAACCATGAATCTTACAAGAAAAGCACCGAGAACACCACAGGTTTCCAGATCCTTCTTTGTGTTGTCCTTAGCTAGTTCAAGAAAGTCCTCCATTAATTGAGCTGACTGAGAAGACATATTACAACCCTTATCAGCTACTATGACATTTCAAGAAAAATATACAAACTCCAAATGAATTAATTTTCTTGAAGGTGTGAGAAATGCCAAAAGGAAAGGAGAGGCAAGCTTTAAAGTACAGGTTAAGACTCACAAAATTATACCTTATTTTCTTTTTTTCTTTTTTTTTGGGTGGGGGGTGGTGGGGGGTAAAGTTGGTAAAACCTTAAAAGAGGGTTCTACAGGAAAGACAATCAAAAGTGTATAATTTAAGGGTTATTACTATATGCACATTCTGCAGCACCCTAGAAGCCTCTGACTCATTGTATGGCTGCTGGTCTGAATCAATTACACGTGAAACATGTGAAGTTTGAGATGCATTCTCAGTGAAAGAGAGTATCGTAGAAGGAAAAGACAGAGTAACAGCATGAACTTTGATGAGCTTGCATGCGGTGGTTGTCTGATCTGGGACTGCACAAAGAGATTCCTGTCCTGAGCAACTTCTCACAAAATCCAGTTCAGAACAAGATTCCAATCCAATATTTTCCTCTATGACTATCCTTGAGCTGTAAACAAGCCAAACAAATTACAAAATTTTCATATTGCTCAATTAAGTAAAAGAAATCTGAATGGCAAAGGTAACTTTGAAAGCATACCAGATTTATGGAAGTTAAAAAAATTATACCTTTGCCATTTTGTTTGAGCTATGCCACAGCTTCTATCCTGCATAGTAAAGTCAAAAAAATCACCCTTTTACATTTTAACTACAATTTGACATGCAGAACAATTTATTCTGATAATCTTACACTTGTTAGTCTCTAGTTCCCATCCCAACTACAAAGTAGAGACACTTGATTAGAATGCTCACATAATTGATGAAGGAAGCTTGTGAAGTTCTTTTCTCTATAAGAAAAGGCTTCCCCTTCGCAAGTATATCAAAAAAAGAACTGGAGAAAGCCCAGTGATGAAATAATGTTTAAACATTCTTTTGTTCCAATTGGGTACATAAATTACTAAATACCAAAAGTAATTAAGTTTCCTTAGGTTGTTGAGACCTCCCAGAAGAAAGGCAGATAATGCAAATAACATTGTAACAAAATAACATGTCTATAAACTTTTTTATGTAACTTTATTAACAATCTTCAGACATTCCTGCCAGTTACAAGCATTATTCAATCACTATTATTATTCTTTGCCAAGTTATGATTTTAAAACTGAAGCAGCATCTCCGTTAGATAACACAAGTAGCATTTGTTGAAAGCTACTGCATAGGACTTTGTAGAATGTACTTTCCTCTCACTTACGTTTAAAGGGACATAAATTTTTTGAGATCTTGAATCTTGGACAGCTAGTGGTTTCAAATTTCCCTTCCATCAACAAATTGGTACATCTGAGAGACTAAAATAAAATAATTTTAACTTTTACATTCCTGATTATTAACATAATTTTTTTCCAATATTCAGATATGTATAGAGAGCCAGTAATTTGCTGAACACAGTTTTATGAGAAAGACAACCTAAACCACCATTTTAATTTCCCATATCAAGCAAAAGAACTAAAATCATTGGGTTTCATACACTCTTCCAATCTTAAATATCATTTCCTAGCACCACTTTAGTTTTCACCTTTGGCCAAGCAATGTCATTTCCTAGAACACCAATTCTTTCCTTTCCCATTATAAGCCAATTAATAACATTAGAAATTAGAACACCAAATCCTCATGTTGGGATTCTTTACATCGCTTCTGCGAAGCCCTTTGCTTATCAAATGGGTTAAAAAAAACCAGAACTTCGAGCAATCAGCAAATAAATCATCAAACACTTCATTTAGTTGTTAGTTTTGCTATATGCCTTTGGCTTTTAGAAACAAAAATCAAAATGCGGGTTCAGTTAGAAAGCAAAAAGAAAAGAAAAACAAACAAAAACAAATTACTTACAAACAGAAAAATGCAGAGCCATCATAATCTTACCTTTAACTATTTATTTATTTATATAGCAAAACTGTAAGGAAGTACAAAATCAAATAGCTAAAAAACAACACAAACTTTCTCCTTTGGTTGATAATTCCACCAACAAAAATTAAACCATCCACTTTTAAAAAATGACAAAAAAAAATATCTTTGAAGAGACGAAAGCCAAATTAAAGAGCAATACAGTCTCCATCGATTAAAAGAAGAAAGGAAAACAAAATATTGAAACTCAAGAGAGAATTAAGAATTTAAAACGTAAGAAATAACTCGATCACCGGTGTCAAAGAAGAAGAATTAAGATAATTCAGTCTTATTCAAGAGAAGCTGATGCAGACAAATTCATAACAGAAAAACCAGAACTTTCGAAAGCGAGGTTTAGAAATCTTTGTACCTGCAGATGTCTGTTGTTTGTCAGCTGAGAAAATCCTCGCCTGTCATCTGACATGCTCTTTTAGCTTCTCAATCAAACAGAAAATTTACAAAAGCAAAAAAAAAAAAATCGAGGTTTAATATTTTAAGAATGTTAAGCACACTATTTCATGTCCCTCAATGTTAGCTTTCCTTTCCTTTTTATTTTTTTTTTTCAATTGTTAAAAATACTTTTGGGTTTTTACGATTATGCCATGGGGCTTTCGGTAAG